GGACCTTGTCTGGTAGGAACACTGCAGCAACTTCATAAAGAGCTAACGGGATTGCTGACTTGATCCTGGAGCTCAGAGGAGCATCCCAGCCAGCAGAAGACCTCTTTATATTGTAATAATGATGGTGCTATTTGGAGGAAGCTCCAGGCCTTGTGCCTGTCAGGTCAAAAGACCTTTGCAAGTGGCTGAGGTTGAGTTAACCCTGGGTTCAGCCGCAGCCTAAGTGGGCTTAGCTGTGAACATGATTTGCAATCTTGTTCAGGACAGAATTGCTCTTGGCAGTGCAGCGGCCTCTTCATTGCCTCCTGTGTAACGCCATCTTTCCTCCTGTATGGGAAAGAGGGAGTGTGACTGCAATAATACCCAATGTTGGAAAATGTTTTTATCTTATTTTTGGACAAACATTACCCGATGGGCTGTGTAACAAGTAAAAGATGCATGTAGGAAGTGATATTTTGACATCTAACCAGTTTGGGAAGTCTCAGTATTAAAACCCAGATTTCTTGTATCAGCAGAGGGCGCAGCATCATTAACCAAGCAAAGGCTTTCCTGCTTACTGCCAAACCCTACCTGCTGGTGCCTCAGGAACAAGGCTTCAAAGGTGGGGTGAAGTCACAGAGCTAGTGAGTTGGAAACTTGGAGAGATCTTTTAGTAAGCACAAAGCCATGTGACACACCACCCTCCATTGTTTTGTCGGAGTTCATGTATTTGTGGAGCGCACTTTATTGGGATTAGGCATTAAAGTGCTTATTTAATTTCCCAGGACTCTGCCATCAAGGCTGGCAGTGCTTGATAGAGCTGAGCATTTTGTTCTGTCAGAGGCAACCTATAAATACCTCATGCTTCTATGTTTCCCTATCTCTCACTCTGTAAGAGGAAATGCGCTTTTTTCATATGATTAGCAGGCAGAGGAACTTGTGAAAGTGACACAGCTGTACTGTTTAAAAAAAAAATACAACACCAAAAACCCCACCCCACAGAGTTTGTTACCAGAGCAGCTTAACTGCTGGCTCTGATAGACCTGAGGGCAGGACTGCCTGCAACATGGAGCGAGAGCCAATGCGCATAAGGGAGGGCTACTTGGTTAAGAAGGTAAGCAGGCAGCCTTGGACAGGGTGGAGGAGAGAGCTGACTGAGCAGGCTGGGGAAGTGTAGGGAAATATGCTTTGCTTTCAGTTATTTAAAATTAAAAAGCTTTTTTTTTTTTTTTTCTTCCTAAAAAGGAAGGTGAATAATGAAAGCAATTCTGTGAGTAGTAAAACAGTGTGATTACAGAAGTGATCTATTGATTACAGAAATACTGCTAGCAGTCGTATCTTGTTGCAGTACTATGTGATGAGGCATTTCTGTGTTTATCCTACAGTACTTCTGGGTCAAATATATATGGATATATATATATATTTTTTTTTTTTACTAAGAAACACAAATGCCTTGGTTGGAAGCTTGGTAAAATAGGTAACAGCTCAAAATGACCAGAGCCTGTTCTACTGTGCTTTGTCAGAGAGTAAAATATTAGAGAAGCACGTTGCTATCCCTAAGTAGGGAGAGCTTGTGGGACCATGGACAAGGATTAGGTTACAACTTTTATTGAAATCCTTAGTGAGACCAGTCTGGTGTCCAGCAGTTTAAACCAAGTCAGTTCTAGAGCAAGGGAGGAGCCCTGTTGTGGGGTCTCTGCTCATCAAAACCAGAATTCAGCTCCTTAGAGCTGCTGGCTGGAGAGCTCTAATCTGCTGCCACTGTTGCATAGAGGCCACTCCTCAGTCTTATTTCCACTGGCACTGGAAGTAGGCGAGTTTATACAATAATCTCAAAGTTGGACTGATGCTGTCATGAGGAAAGAGAGGACCAAATTCACTCACGGCAGATTGCAGTTCTCTCTAGTTCTGGTGGCCCAATACTTAGAGCAGGTGGCTCACAATCTATATTTTTCCATGGCAAGGAAATGGCTAGGAACTTGGATGCAAGCACTGTGTCTGGCTGGGGCATGCCAGGGAAAAGATGTGTGCAGGCATCCGGTGTGAGTTCCTGCCATTCCTGTGGGTGCGGGGTCCCCAGGAAGTCTCTCTGTGTGGGTACTGCTAATGGAAAATTGCTGCTGCATGTGCTGTTTCAGTAGCAATAGAGAAGTGGAAATTGTGCCCCTTTTCTGTAAGGTGGTTCTGTCCTTGCTGAAGTGAGTTTGTGTTGATGGTGAAGAGCAGCAGTGTGCCAAATGGAGGCTGGAGGGCAAAAGGAGAAGATGCAGACCAGACTGGTAGCAGCTGTTTGATCTATCAGTAAGACTGCAGTGAATTCTGTATAACCAGAGCTTCCAGCCAGGATGGGCAAGGTCCTAATCAATCTTACCTGCTACTGAAGTACTCTCCTCTTTTTTGTTATGCTTCTAAAGTGAAGCTATGGAACACACCTCCCAGACAAGTCACTCACACAGCCGCAGTTGTCTTTGCCAAGGATGAAGGCTGTTTTTCACTGGCTCTCTTCTAATTTACCTCATGGGAACATGCTTGAGGATCAGTGTTTTAGCTGGTACAGCATGACTTCTATTACATATGCATTCAGTGTTGGTTTTAGGTCGTCCTAAGCTGCTACGTGTATTTGTGGTGACTTTGTGTAATCTTCTGAGCAAGCATGGAAAACGGCTTCTACTCATGTAGTGCTGCAGGAATTTATTTTTTTTTTTTTAAGTTGTTCTACCAAAGCAGGATTGTATGAGTTTTTAACACAGCTAACGATTTAGAGACCAATTTGGAGAACATCCATCTTTATATGAAGTTTTTGGAGCAGAGGAGTTGATTTTTAGTACAAAAACATGCAGCATCCTTCTTGATGTCTTTCATGAGCAGTTTTAGCTGAGATCATCATGACCACGTTTGGGCTTTCTGACAGTGGATGTAAAGCTGCCGGTCTAACCCAGCTGTGCAATGGTTTCCATTGGCAGGGCATGTCAGAATCTTCAGGAAGTATTAGCAGAAATATCAAAAGATGTGCTAGACTGGCAAATAAAAGGATTGTGTGGTGGCTCAAGTCTTGGCTCACCATCTTACTTGATTCCTTAGCAGAAGTTCAACCTATGGGTCACGTTCTCCAGAAATGATAAATTCATACAGCTTAAATGAGCAAAAAATCAAACTAGAGGAAACAGCATTCAATCCCTGTGTGCAATCCATATCCAAGACTGGCTCTTCTTTGTAACTCCCTGTTCAGCTGGGTTTCTAGACAGCCCCCAGCATAGTGATTTTTCCTTTGGAAGGTAGCATTTGCTTGTGGGGATCCTTCTGCCTCCGGTGAGGGCTGCAGAGGCTGGGAGCAGGTTCCATTCTTACTACCATCTCTGCTGACAGTTTTCCCTATTCACCCTGTAGTTGAATGTAAGATCTGATTCGGAGTGTGAAAGGCATAGAAGGCAAAGTAGGAAGAAGGATGTGATGGAGAAAGGCTATATTTGGGGAGCGGTGGGGTGGGAAAAAAAGGAAGATGGTTTTTCTGTCCCATTCATGTGTGTAGAAATGCAAATGCAGCTAGTGCAGTCCCTCTCTCATGTCTGAAGATCAAAACAAGGGACTTTGCATGGTGTGATGGTGTCTGCCTTGCTTCTATCTGCAGCTTTAAGACTGTCCGGTCACCATGGTGGGGGGGGGGAGGGGGAGGATAAACTGGGGTCTCTCTTTGTGCTGGAAAGACTAAGGACAACTAATGTTTTTGAAGAATTCTGGACCCATGTATGTCTGGTGCTCTTCAGTAATTCTTCAGAGAAGCTGTTGATATTCAGCATATCTAAATGTTCATTTGGATGAGAAGTCAGTCACTTCTGTGTCTGGGATTGTGACTGTTCTTAAAGCTGTCTGCAGGCAGGCTGAGCTAGCTAGAGCACAAGGTTCTTAATTCTAGAGCTTAATCATGCTAACTGAGCACAGAGAAACAGATCGTTCCTCTTTGAGTCCCTGAGTCTTTGGCCATTTATTTCACTATATGTAGGTTCTGGCCCTGACTTTCTCTATATTTCACTTGTCTAAAAACTGTGATTCAGAAACAGGAGGTAAAAACTTCAAGAGATGAAATGAAGCACCTCAAATTCTCACCACAGCAGTTAGGGATCTGCACCCTAAGAACCTTAAACTACTCATTGCTATTTGCTGAAGTCAAGAAATCCTCTGCAAACTTAGAATCATAGTATCACTTGAATTGGAAGGGACCACTAAAGTTCACCTAGTTGAACACCCCTGCAATGAACAGAGACCTCTACAGATTGCCCAGGGCCTGGCTCAGCCTTGCCTTGAAAGTCTCTGGGGTTGGGGCATCAACCGCACCTCTGGGCAACTTCTTCCACTGCCTTACCACTTTAGTGTAAAAAAAAAAATAAAATAAAACTTCTTCCTTATGTCCCATCTAAATCTCCACTCTCCTAGTTTGAAATCATTTCCCTCTGCCCTACCACAGCAGACCCTGCTAGAGTTTGTCCCCTTCTTTCTTACAGCCCCCCATCAGATACTGGAAGGTTGCTCTCAGGTCTTCTGGATCCTTCCCTTCTCCAGGCTGCACAGCCCAGCTCTCAGCCTGTCCTCACAGGGAGGTGTTCCATCCCTGGGCTCATTTTTGCAGCCCTCCTCTGCACATTCTCCAACAGCTCCATGTCTCTCCTGTACTGAGCACTCCATGTCTGGATGCAGTGCTCCAGGTGAGGTCTCACAGTGCAGAGCAGAGGGGCAGGATCACCTCCCTCACCCTGCTGGCCGTCATCTTGAATCAAAGTGGCTGGGACAAGCTGAAAAGAAATGCCTACAGGGAAAATATTGGAAAAACTTACAGGTGGGGCCACTGAAAGAGGAAGTAAATGGTGGTCAGAAGAATAACAACAGTGTGTTTGAACTGCATAATAGATGGATGTGGTTATGGTTTAGTGTTCCCCTTGAGACATGATAATTAATTTAGAGTCAGATGTTCTGTGGAAGATCACATCTTCACTGTTCACATGATATCCATTGATTTCTCAATGCAGGGTAGCATGTTTAATACCTGGAAGCCAATGTGGGTTGTGCTCTTAGAAGATGGAATTGAATTCTACAAGCGGAAGTCTGACAACAGCCCCAAAGGGATGATCCCACTAAAAGGAAGCACCATCAACAGCCCATGCCAAGACTTTGGCAAAAGAATGGTAAGTACTTCTTTTTCTAATAACTATGATTGACAGTATACTTAAACTCTGAAGGCCCTGAAAGGGCGCAAGGCTGGTAGTTAGATTCCTTATTCATATCCTGGTGATCACTCTCATTTGTCTTAGAAGGTCACAAGCAGGCTTGGACTTTTGTAGTGTTTGAAAGGTGTGACTGCTTGAGGAACAGCTCAGGATATTTCAAGAGAAGCAGTTGTTTGGATTTCTGACTGTCATAATGGATCTAAATTGTATTTTCACGGTACCAATAGCCACAAAATAAAACTGTAGTAAACTGTCTCATGAGCCCTGGAAAAACATAGTTATTGCCAAAGAGCACTGACTAGTTTGCTTGAGTGGGAGGGAGATAAATGCTGTGATACAAATGCCCTAAAAAAAGCTGTGATTCCAAACTGTTTCGTTACCATTCAGTAAGTACATGAGGTCAGGTAGTTCATACTCCTATAATCTGTTTTATGTGCATGTTATGTGGTTATATGTAGAGCTTTTACCTATGATTAAGAGCTACGTGTTTACTCAGAGTGAAAAACCGAAACTGATTTGGAGAAATTAGTTGAAATGATGCTATGCATTTGGGCTCTATGTGGGCAAACATAGTAAGCAAGGTAAGGTCCAAATTCCCAAAGAGATGCACGTATCATGATATTGGTAAATTCAAAGTCTTGTTTGAAAGACTTTAGTAGAAAGCATTTAGTCCAGGAGGAGACTGTACTGTTGTGTCTGGAAGGAGAATTTTATGATCGTGCATCCTTATCTGATGGTCATCATAGATACAGCAATACCTGAGCTGGCAAGGGAGAGCATTTGGTTGATTCAGAAACATTTGAGACCAAAGCCATCTACTCCTTCTTGCTGACAGCTTCTGCCCTACTCAGCCTCTGGCAAGGCTGGGCAAGCTTTACTGGTAACCCCTGCAACTTTGGATCTGACCTTTTGCTTCAGCAAGCATATGTGCAAGCCAGAGCTCTGCATTACTGCGCTTGACTTCACCTCTTTTGCAAACCCTGAACAATAAAGGTGAAGTTTAATTACATTCAGGGACTTGAGCATGGGGGAAGAAAATTAAATAATCAAATGAAGGAATACAGTATATCTGTACGCATCTGGTTCTAATTATGTCAGTTTAAAACTCTGTCTCAGCACTATCTAATTAACGACCCTCTGTACAGCTTTCCTTACTCTATATGTGGGAGGAGGATGCTGTTCTGGAGTATCAGATCCTACAGTATAGTACTAGACATTCATTTTTTCCTTATAAAGCATTTTTTTCTGGACAGGTTTTTTTTGTGTTTGATGTCCTGATAAAATCACTGTTGTTCTGTAGGGGTTGCATGTGCACTCCCAAAATAGGCAGAGGGGTAAAGTATTCAGTGTCAGATCAGGAAGACAAGGCACGTGCCTTTTCAGAAGTAAAATCTGATGCAGTTTGTTGAAGTCAGTGGAAGTGGTCCCAATGACTTCATTAGGTGTTGGAGCAGATCCTCTTTGTCAGTGGGACAGGTCAGTGAGATCCCTCTGCAAGTCCATAGAGCAGCAGCCCTGAAGAAGTGCAAATTTGCACTTCTCAAACAGTCAAAACTGCAGCATGCTCATTCCTACAAGCAGTGGTGTTATTGGGATTGTTCTTACTAGTAGTTACTGCCCAACATGATTAAATTACTGCATATATTCCTTGAAAATACAGGAACTTTGTTTTTTGATATTTTACATCTTTATTATGCAGCTGAATTCAAAGCCTCTGTATTGCATTGTGCATTCTAGTTAATTGCATGCTAAAACATACAGTTGTGCTGCTTATGGGAATAAATCTGGTTTATAGTGGCTTGAATGCATTTATAGCACTAAAAATGGAAGTGTAGTTTTAGGTCAAGATTTCTGTAGGGTAAGAAGTGGGGTAATTCTAATTAGGTCTGTTTTAAGTCTAGTATTATTTGAATTCACACTGGGGCAGGGAATATTAAGCTGTGAGCAGACTTCCATGTTCATCTGGTCAGATTTCAGCTGTCTGAGTCAGGTAGGCCTCAATGCAGTGATACAGTCTGAAACCTCAAGGGTGCATGTTACAGCACACAGTTAGGTAAATCAGTTGCAAAAAGCAGATGTTGAGGGGAAAGGAAGTAATCTTGGATTTCTTAAACAGATAAAGCTTGTTCCCAAGAGGCTGTGACTGCATATTTAATGATTTTAATTGCAAAACGTACTCACCATTGTTTACTGGTCTTGACGTGAATCTTTATCATTGCTCAACGTGATGTTAATTCTGCTGTATTCCTTCTTCCTCTCTCTTCCTCTGGATGGCATTATCATGTATGGCTCCTTATAGTGGGATTCATTTATCTAAAATGTTGGTGTTTAGTTCAAGCTAATGCTCTAATTTTCTCAAAAGCACAAATAGATACACATCTCCAGAAAGGAGTTTGTTCACTTCTAGGATTGGAGACAGCTGATGATTCAGTCTTGATTTCATTGCTGTAGATCCACTGTTCTGTGCCCTCTGATGATAGCCTCTACTTGTCCTTATGGACCCATGCTGTTTGCTCCATTATTAGCTTGATGTTTCCAGTTTGATGCCCACTGAGCCTTTTTATTCTTGTACAGCTATGGAAAACGTAGCAGTTCCTCTTACGGGGAGTTGTATTTTAGAGGAAATGGAAGCCCTCTTGTCTGAGTAATTTGACCTAGATTTTCCATCCAAAAGGTCACTGGATGAAAGCAAGATCAAACAGTCTGAATTTAGAGGGTTTTTTTTTTCCAAGTTGGTGTTTTTTTGTTTTTTTTCTCTGCCTAGTCCTGCCTTTAAAAGATCTGTTCTCATTTTGTGGGAGTACAAGTTTTCCATTGGGGTCAATGTATATTAGAGAGGCAGTGATCACGATGTGTATCTCGGAGTTGGATTTATCATTTCCCTGCCAAATCCTTAGAAGTGTGCTAGACTGCAAACAAGTGCAGCTACTCTCTGTGACAGTTTTCTTCTCTCTAAGCATATGGTATGGTTTGTTTTTTCATTACTGCCTCTCCTCCAGACTGACCACATCTCTAAATAGTGAAACAGGTTTACACCCATGTGATTTTGCAGGGGATGGGTACTTCAGTCTTTCAGCTATGTTGGACTTGCCAGCAAATGTTAAAATCATCAGCTATATAGGTGCCACTCATTTTTGCTGATGTTAGCTCTAGCTGGAAAGTAACAGAAGTCCATTATCTGTACTGCCTGTCCATGCTTTTCTTTAGAATTATTTGACTGTGGCTCTAAGGCACTCTCCAAAGCCCCTTAGATAGACTGTATGCCATGGTGGCACCAGCTACACTAAAGTAACTTGAAAAAAACATTATTTATCCTTCCAGTTTGTCTTCAAACTCACTGCAGCCAAGCAGCAAGACCACTTTTTTCAAGCCTCCTACCTGGAAGAGAGAGATGCTTGGGTACGGGATGTCAAAAAGGCAATTCAGTGCATAGATGGAGGTCAAAGATTTGCCAGAAAATCCACAAGAAAATCCATCAGACTGCCTGAAACAATCAACTTGAGGTATGTTCTTGTAGCTCTGCTCGTCTGTTTACTTCCCTCTGCAGGCAGTGGCAGAGATGTAACCTCAGCATGGAAGAGCTATTAGCATGTCTGTCTGTGCTACCAATCCAGTTTCCCTTGGAGTCCTTTCTGCATAACTGACAGTTTCAGCATGGCAAAAAATAACTTGTGGTGAGAACTGGGAAGACTTTTTTTTTTTTTTTTTTTTTTTTAAGCATCATCTTTATAAAAACAAGCTAATTTGTCCAAGGATTTGGCTTATGAGCAGGCTTCTGTGTACACTGCAGCGCTACATGTGATTCTTTTAGGAGAAGCATTTTCAGAGGACAGAATTTACTGTAAAAATGTTTTTATATTTATCTTATCTCTGGACAAATACTACTGTTAGCAGTGGTTTTTGCATGATGAAGACAGTGCCTGCCAGAGTACTTGGAGTTGGCAAAGGGAGAAGGAAATATAAAGGGCACACTCAAGATGCCATCTGTTTGTCAGTACAGGTCAGTGTGATATTTGTCTCTGAGCAGCAAATACAAAGAATACAAGTGAGCCTGTGGTCCTTCTTACAGGACAGTGAAACAACAAGGGGCAAAGATCCAACTAAATGTCTTCACTGGATTCATCAGAGGATCACCCTGATTGAATAAAAAGCCAAAGAATTTAGCCTGTGACACGTAGTGTTTGTCCTTCTCATTTCAGAACCTCGGGGAATTAGTTTTGAGCAAGTGAAAAGCAGATGGGAAGGAGGAAGTCAGATCAGGAGTCACTGAGGTTACTTGGGCCCTCTGAGAGCATATGTGCTTAAGGGATGTCTCAGTCACAGGCTTTCTGCTCAAATAGCCTCCACAGTAGGTATTCCTCTGTTCACACTACAGTCATCACAAGCTGGGACAGTCTCGAAATGGGGCCAATTAATGATGAGCCCTTTCTGCACCGTTCCTGTATTTCTGATGGCAATGGTGGAGCTTCCATGTTTTGCACAGAAAGCTTTTCAGGAGAAAAACACTAAGCCATGCTATAGCACTGCAGAGAGCACTATGCTAGCAAGACATGAAGATCCTGTGAAAGAATGTTTCTATAACAGCTGGATGTAACTTTTTACATGCTAACAGTTTTTGTCGTTTGTTTTATGCACAGTGCTTTGTACCTCTCAATGAAAGATCCTGAAAAGGGAATAAAGGAATTGAAGCTGGAAAAAGATAAAAAAGTGTTCAATCACTGCTTTACAGGTAAGGAGATCTTGGCCATGGATTTTTGGAGGTTTTGTCCTGTTTTTTTGTTTTTTTTGTGTTTTTTTTTTTCTTCCCTTTGCTCAATAAAAAGAGCACAGGGCTAAGAGTCTAAAGATAGACTAAAACAGCTCCAAGCCATTTAGAGTACAGTTTGTGAAGAAAGTTTGAGAGGAAAGCCTGGCAGAGGTCATGTTGACCATTGTGGGACATGCTCAAAGGATGAAGCTTGGGAGGGTTCAGATACAGTCATAGTGGAGGAGAGAAAATCAAATGAGTGCCAGCAAGATTGAAATAGATCTTTCTAGAAAGTTCTGTGAAACAATTCCAGAAGAACTGTTTCTCACTGAATTTTTCTACATCAAACTGTCATGTTTTAATTCCTGTCCTGCTCCAAGTCAAATCTGTGGATGCTAAGCTTGAATGTCAACCTCTTTCTACAACACTGCATCAGTAACATTGCAGCTTGAAAGACTGTCTCCTCCAGGCTTGGATTTTCCAGTCCCTCCTGCTAAAGCTTCCCAGCTCAGCCCTGCATCTTTTCCAAGCTCTTTTCTCCTGGAAATACAGTGTTCAGGAGTTGTATTGGCCCAGGACATCAGTTGGATTAGCTATACCTCACTGAATGACACAGGCACATTTGCAGATTAATTCTCTGCATTGTCACTGAGAATATCTTTCAGGAGATTTGTGTTTAGATGGAGTGGACTTGTTGCCTGTCGTGGTGTTTATTTCTTGCTGTTTTTTTTTATATAAGGTTTCTGTGTGTTTGTCTTGGTCTGTGGCTGATATTCATATTATTAATTCCTTTGTAACCAGGCACTGCTGTGATTGACTGGCTGGTGTCTAGCAACTCCATCCGAAATCGCAAAGAAGGCCTCATGCTTGCCTCCTCTCTCTTGAATGAAGGCTACCTACAGCCTGCAGGAGATACATCCAAGGCTGCAGCTGAGGGACTGTCAGATACCCCTTTCCTGGATCTTAGTGATGCCTATTACTACTTTGTGAGTGCTGTACTGGTTTTCCTTTGTTTCTGGTTTGCAGATACTCTTCTCAGGCTTGAGCCTTGTTTTTTAAGTCCTGGAGGAAAGGTTGTCAGAAATTGAGAATTCCATGTTAAATATCTTTCTCTGTGTGACGCTCAGAATAAACTGACTCAACATTTGTAAGGTCAGTTCTTCTGTCGCTCTGTGTGAGCTGAGTACAGAGATCAAACTGGGCTCTTTTTAGCTTAGACTTTGTTCCCATTAATTTCAGCAGTAACCAAGACTTGGCCACCAGCTCCCCGATGATGATTCAGTGGAAGGGAAGGGAGTAATTCATCATCATGAGGCTTCTTAGAGCAGCTCAAGCTGGAAACACATTTTTTGTGCTCAGAGCCATCAGATGCGACTCAGTTCACACGCATGCAAGCAGAGTTTGCCTATGAGCCAAGAAGCAAAAGTTTTCAATATCTACCTTGTAACCCCTGTCCTGGGTAGCTTACCCAGTCTTTTCAGTTTATTTCTTCAAATCAGTCCACAAAATATGAAGAATTTGCAATACTGCAATCACAGCCAAATACTGCGTTTAAAAATGCTTGCCTTATGAACTTATGCTTGCAAAAAGTATTCTTACTGTCGTGTAAAATTGCTTCAGTTTTACAGTTCTGTTTATACTTACTGCATAGAATCACCCTACTTCACTGAAATGAATTTCCCATTGCTTGCTTTGTTTTCCTAGAGTATCTCTATGGTACCTGGGCAGAAACAGAAGCACTGGCAGTGCTAGTGAAGGAACCATGTAGCCGTTATGGTTCCTGGCTACCCATGACACTTCTGATAGCCATTGTGCATTCTGCTTGCTTTCAACTTGTTTTTAGTTTGCTTCAGTGATCTGGGGGAGGAAACTCCAGGTCAGCACCTGGCTTGTTTTCACATGAGTTGGAAGTACAAAAGCTTACTATATGCAGTACAAATGGTTACCTTCATTCATACCATTTGAACTACATAGTTTCACTAAGCAGCATCACAAATTGTCTGGTGTGGACAAGACAGCCTGGATGGAAACATTTTTTTCTTCTTCCCAAATTTTAGATGCTATGCTCGATGTAGGAAGAGGAGAGGTACATTGGGTTGGGAATGGGCAGCCCAAAATGTATTGGCTGTGCCAGCTTTGCTTCATGTAAACTGTGATGCGTGGAGGTGCTCCAGCTCTCTTCAGAAGCCCGAAGACCTGTTTTCATAGTCCTCAATCTGAAATGCTTCCAGTGTGACATGGAGAGGTCCTCAACTTTACTGGAGTGTTTTTCAGTAAAAGAGTTGGGTTTTTTTAGGTATCAGAAACAGAGTGGAAGGAAGGCAAAGAAGCCACACTCATACATCATGTATAAATATGTACCATTTGTGTAACTACTTCATGTTCTCTTGTGATCATGCAGCCTGACAGTGGATTTTTCTGTGAGGGGAATTCTAGTGATGATGATGTGGTCCTGAAAGAAGAATTCAGAGGCATGATAGTCAAACAAGGATGTTTGCTAAAACAGGTTGGTACCACGCACCTTCTACCCTTTCTAGCCTAGGATACAGGATTACTCTTTTCCTCTTAAAAGCTTTAAAGAAGAGAAAAATAAGCCTTGTATTTCTCTTGTTCAACCAAGTTACTCAAAAGCAACAGAAGAAATTAGGTATGAGTCTTTCTGCTAACACTTACCCTGTCACATTTACCTCAGCTTGGTTAGTAGGAACTTTTGCAAGCAGCAATAGTTAGTTGAGAAACCAATATTTTGAAATGCCAAGAGGAAATGATTCATGATGTTCTTTACTACTTAATCTGGATTTGGTCACCCTCAGTGAACTGTGGCTCACTGTAGGCACCACTGCTTCTGCTGATTATGTCTGTTTTCAAGACTGGAGTGATGGATGGGGGAAAATGTAGTCCTGCTGTGTAATGGCATTACTGCAGTTACATTGTGAGTGCTGTAAAATGAGTCAGTGTTTCAGCTTCCTGAAATGCTTCCAGATCTGATGCCCTGGGATGTCACCCAGTCTGTCTTCCCTGCAGCTTTTCTGGTGACTCATCGTGTTCAGGCTGAGAAGGTCAGGAAGGGAAATTTCCCATCTTCCAGGAAGAACAAAGGGCAGAACCAGATGAGCTGGATGTAGTCCATGCATGCCTAGGGTCCTTGTGACCAGCAGGAGTCCCTGAGGTGACCAGCTGGGCCAAACTGAGCTTTAGGATGAGATCTCCCAGAGCCAGAATGCACTTAAACAATACTGATTGATTGGAGGTGATGGACTAAAGGCTGGGGCAACTTTTATTAATATTTGGATGCCTGCACTGTTTGGAGCTAAATCTACATGCTGATATTATGCTCTGAGGGCAGCCCCTAGAAGTCGGGTGCAGTGCCTGGAGCCCTAGGAGGGCTGAGTGTCTCAGAATGGCATTGCTGTGAATTGGCATGAAAGCTTCCTCAGCCATCCAGCCAGGGATGCTGTGGAGAAATGTTAGGATCTGAGCCTGGCTGCTAAAAGCAATGATTATATATATGTGCAATTATAACTGCACCATTGGCCATAAGCATTTGCAGGGAGGGCAGTTCATGACATTTGTGTTTTTGAATTTTTCTAGGGGCATCGGAGGAAAAACTGGAAAGTGAGAAAGTTTGTTTTAAGAGAGGACCCTGCATATCTTCACTACTATGATCCTGCTGGAGTAAGACACGTTTGGTCAACTTTGAATTATTTTTCTGTTTGTTTGGCAGTTTTGCTTTGGGGTTGTTTTTTGCTGTTGTTGCTGAAGTTTGGTTGGTTTTTTGTTTGTTTGATTTTCAGGCTGCCCTCCTCTAGAAATATGAGTGAAGTATTTGCTTAGGAATATGTGATTAAAAAAAGCCAGGCAGGACAATGGGGCAATTTATGTTCACACTGCCTGGTCACTCTGGAAGAGTAAGAGGGAATGATGTTTTTGGGGGCTGGCATGTCAGGGTGGCAAGTGACATCCAGACCTGGGAGCAGTCAGTACTGAACTGTGCTCTCACCTTGTCTCTGTGGTCAATTAGAAGTGAACAAATTGAAAAGAGCAAATTAAGGCAATACAGTCACTTTGCAGTTCATAATTTTCCATGTCAGACTGAGACATGGCACTTTATTTTGCATGTAATTGTAATAGGCCAAATACTGTTCTGAGAAAGGAAGGAGCATCACTGCAGAAAAAACCTACCCTAAAAGCAGGCGTCCATATGGGTTCAGCCCATTATGTCAGACATCTGCAGGAGCAGTGCTGTTGTTGTGGGTTGCAGGTTCTGTGCCTGTCCTGCTTGGCAGAAGCAGCTTAGACACAATGGGGACTCAACACTGAAGAGTTTGACCTCCATTTCTGGTGTGTTTTCCCCACTCCTGGCTTTTCCTCCCAAAATACTGAAGTGTCAGCTCACAGGAAATGCATGTTTCAGGCTTAAGCTAATAGAAGTGCTTCTCCATGCATTCTTTGCCTATCACAGTCTAGAAGCATGAAAGAAGGAAAAATAGTCAAAGTTATAACAGCTCCTGCTGTTTTTGTTTTTTGTTTTTTTTCCTCTAATTAAGCAAACAAAAACTTTCTAAGATCTGCTCTTCTTTCTAATTAACCTTCTTTTCACCATGAAAAGGAAAGCCTGTAGTTGGCACAAGGTGGTTTATATTCTTTCCATGCCATTATTCAGGACATGCAAAATACTCTGCAGATCCTGAATTCCAAATTCCAAAAGGCTTCTTATTTATTTACAGATCTGTGAACGCCCTTACCCTTCATATTACACTGGCTGAGGATCCCTGGTTTTCTAAGGTGACGCCCTTAGTCGCCAAATGTTTTTGTTTCCACTGTGGAGCTGTAGTCAGTTACAGAGATGTGAACAGTTTCAGGAGTGTTGTATTTTATGCTGACTTTGTGTCTGTCTCAGGGAGAAGATCCACTAGGAGCAATCCACTTGAGGGGCTGCGTGGTGACTGCAGTGGAAGATATGCCAGACTGTAAGGAACCATAGTGGAAGAGCTGTTACAGGGTTTTGGTGCATTCTTTCAATCTGCCAAAAAATCACAAGTGTTTTTTTTTTTTTTTTTTTTAAATTTTTTTATTTTTACTCAAAAACAATTTGCACCAATTCATTAATTGTTCTAATTACTAATAATTCTAATTACTCGGTTATCTTTATCACAGTACCTTCCTCTAGTAACTAAAGGTAGCAACAGGGTATCTTGTGCTTTGTCAGTTGTTTAGACTAGTCAAAATGATGACCTGGCATCCCTATGTTAAGATAACTGGCCAGAGAAATAAGCTGAGTTCTCTTTTTAGTTTGTTTTTTTGGATGGTAACTTTAGGTTACAAATGGCAGTGCCAATGAATTTGCTGCTCTACAAATTCTTCTCCTTCCCAAAACTAGAAGCTGTGGGAAGAGCAATGGTTAGCATTGCTGCAGGAACAAGAAACATTCACTCTATGCATTCTCTTCTCCATCGAAGCAGTGGTGAAATGTGCAGAATTCATATTTTTTTACTCCAAAACAATGACAGATTTCATGGGCCTAATTTTGCAAACTGCTTACAAAGGTATGGCCAGGCACAGCTATAGAAAGGGGGCAAATCCCTTCACAGAATGTAAAGGAAGAAACATTTTAAATGCAAGACTTTGATCACTCATAGCTGACTTCCTTATTTCTTTCCTGTAGCCAAGAAGCATGACGTTGAAAACAACCTGTTTGAAATAATCACAGCAAGTGAAGTCCACTATTACTTGCAAGCAGCTTCATCTGCAGAGCGTACAGAGTGGATCAAAGCAATTCAGACAGTTGCTAGGACTGGGAAGTGAAGATGATCCACCAGCAATAAGGACAACTGAAACTGATTGCTCAAAACAAAACAGGAATTTTAGCTTTTCACTGAGATAAAGTCATGTCAACCAGAAAAACCTCCTAAGGCTTGTGGGTTGGGAGGGGGGAATAAGTTTCAGTTCTGTAGTGGGCACAACCACAACACAAGTGGAAAGTATCTTACTAAATTATAGCATAGAATGTTACGTTAGTGTGTGCTTCTTGTAGTATTCAGTATGCCTTGGGAAGGTTATACCTTATGCCTTTCCCTGCTGCCACTGCTGATAGCGAGGATTTCACCATTAAGAGTGGACAGGATCTTGTTGCTGTCTGTACACAAGGAAAAGCCAGTATGACTCAGCCTTTACTGTTTGATTATCCTCTAATAACTCAAGGGATTCCCAAGACAAACTTTACCCTTTCTTCTTTACTAGCCCATCTTTCTGCTGCCGTGTTCAGCTATCCAAGTAATGCAATAGAGCTAAGGAAATAAATATTTTTTGGAAATGTGATCCACACCTTTATAATCCTTCAGTGTCAAGGAAAGGAAGAGTACAGACAACTGTGGTAGCACTATGCAGAAAGCATAGTGTACAAATGTACAAATCAATGACAGCTGTATGAGTATCCATGCAGGAAAATTCTTTGCCCGTGATTCTTCCGAAGCAATCTCAGTTTTTCTGTACCAACTTAATTTTGACCTTCACTATATTTCTCCAGAAGAATCTGCTCCAGGATCATTGTTTTGCTTCATTTAGATGCCAGTGCAGCTGCTGGAGTGTTGTGCACTGCTGATTTGACCTGTATTTGAATTAAGAATCTTTCAGGAAGAGGAAAAGGATCCATATGTTGATACTTGAATTCCCAGCTGAGGTGCTGTTGATTAGGGTCTGTCTTAACCTACAGAAATGTACTCAATGCTTGGCTCTGTGCTTTAAGTCATATTAGAGGAGCCTTATTAGTTCTGCAATAAGTGTTGTTTGATGGTGTCAAGTTGCCTGATCAATCTTTGGTTTTTTTTGTCATACTTACGCCTCCAACCTTCAAGTCTTCAAACTTTAACTGGAGGTCATCATATGACATTCTGCACGTAGCCTTTTCTTAAAAAAAGAACTTAAAAAGAAACTTAAAAAGATAAATTAGATTTCTTATCCTTAAGAACTCTTATTCAGGTTTCTTGAAACTAAGAAATAAATATGGTTCTAAAGCTTATCTTTAGTTCTGTTTTCATTATATGTGTATTTACCCTGTTCACACATATGCCATGCAAACAGAGCCAGGAAAAGCTGCTACTTAAGCTTAGGGTAACCAGATTGATGTTCAGGAAGAAACTTCATCTGGTCCATGGAAGCTGTATTATCACAAAAGCTGTTGTTGTTTTGATAAAGCAGTAGTACAAACAGCTTCTGCAGTAACTGGACTGTGCCTTGGTCTATTGGACCAGCTTGGTGATGATAATCTCTCAGGGCATGGTGCTTTCATTTGACATGAAAACAAAACTTTGGTGATCCACTGCATGCATTTGGGTTGATATGGTTATCTGCACAATGGAAAGCTATAAATACAATAACAGATTGCTGATAAGTTTGGTTTTTGGTTTTTTTTTTTCCCCTTTTGGAGGGGAAAGGGTATTTATGTATCATCATCTCGTTCACACAGATAGCAAAGTTAATAGAAAGCAAGTCTGAAGAGATCTAATCTAATGTACCTGAAGGTTGATGGCCTAAGTATGGCTTGTTGCTTTCTAACATGATACCAATACTGTGCCTTTCATTCTTGCCTAAAGAACACTCTGCAGTTATGTTCATGTTATGGAGTTGTGGTTTGATATCAAACCACACCTGCAGAAGAACAGGTACCACTTTTTGCTGGGACTCTCTTGTGTTGGTGAATCTCTGCAGGTAGAAGCCAGCGTAGTCTGATGAGATCTGGACCTCAGAAGACTGTATCAGCCCAAAAGGAAAATATCTTGGGCCTTATGCTAAGCTCAAAGTTCAACCACACTTTCTACTCTGTTTTTATCTCACAGGCATCTCCATTTGTTTATTGATCTCTGGTGTTTTTTTCTTTTTTTAACCCCCAAAGTGCTTGGTTTTTCAGAAATTGCAGGCTTTGGCATATTTGTGACCTCAACAGTAGAGAACAGCGAATACTGGCAGTCAGCAGAGTCTCCATTATCCTAAAGGAAACATGGGTTTGTTCAAGAAGCTGCTTGTACCCTTGAATCTGGGTAATTTTCTACTGTGTGTGGTAGAGCACTCCTGGTGTCTTTCACTTCCTTGAATTACTTCTGGTAAAGGGTCAGATCTCGTTCTTTAATAAGCTGAGTTTCTTCTCAGAAATAACAGAAAATGCAGCTGTGTTGAGGCAGCAGGCTGGCAGACACAGTGTTGTCACATCCATTTAGGACATAGAGGAAATCAGTTTCTAGCAGGCATTTCCTGTATCTCATGCAAGCTGACAGGATCGCTGAAGCCTGGTCTGTTATTCTGAGGAAGGAAGCCTCACAGTGAAGAGAAGATAACTATTTGCTCAGCCCTGCTTTTTTGATAATTGCTTTGTGGTTTCTCAGACCTCACTAACCCCAAAATATCCTATAGCACAGGAAAATGAAAAACAGAAACTCGCCCAGCTTAGCATAGCAAAGGAGGAATGCAACTGTTGGTACAGTGACTACACATGAATGGTATTGTTGGAAAATCTCTTGGGGAAGAGAGCTGGTGTTTGTACCAGACAACGTTCTCTGACCTGCTAGGTGGCTCTTTATGACGTGCACCCCGAGCACTTATCTCAGGGGAAACATATAGACTGCAAGTTTATGTCTCATGCCACCCTGCCCTCTTTTCCTTCTCTGAAGACTTTTGTTTGCCTGAGAAGGTACTACGCAACTCCAAACCGATCTTCCTTTTATTCAGGTTGCCACACATCTTGACACAAATAATTAGCTCCGTGTTCCAGGATGAATGTGTGCTTTAAAAATAGACATGATAAGAAACAAGTACATCTCAGCAAAGCCCAAACTTTTCTTTTTATGGTGAGGCATCTCTGTGATAAGTTTTTCACAAGGGATGACCTGGAGACAAGGGTTAATATGGGGCTGTTATTCAAAGATACTCCATTTTCAAACACGGGGTAGTGCTTCTGAAAATCAAAGTGAGAATTTAAGTGCCACAGGTAATCTGACATTAAGAATTGTGCGTGATAGAATGGGAATTGTCACAACCCTCGAACTGAGTGAAGTTGCTCAGAAAACAGCTGCTGGAGCTGAGACAAGGTGCAAAGGCTACCGTAATGGATGTCTGCAAAGGGAAAAAAAAAAAGGAGGATTAGTTTTATGCCAGTACAATTTCCAGACATACCAAACGGATTTTGTCCAAGGAAATTAAACATTAAAATGCAATTATATCATAGATTATGAGGCAAGTCCAGTTACTCAGAAGATGGGGAAGGGAAGAGGCATACTGAATGCTAGCACTAGAGGAGAGAGCAGGCCTAGTACAAGGCCAAGTAAAAGAGAAAGAAAGGAGAGCAGATGCTTGTGATCCACGCTTCTTCCAACTGTTTTCACCTTCTATTTAAATCATCCTTCCATGCGCTCAGTAAATACTACTTCAACAATAATTGCTTTTTTTTCCTATTAAGATGAATTAGTCTTTTGTTATAGAATACAGGAAAGCAAAAGAAACCACTGAGAATCAGGATTATATTTATAACCTTTGTTTACTGTAAGACATGTACAATGTCATCTACAGTGAAGATCCTCATGTGTTTGATTTGCCATAGTTTTCCCTCCCCTGGCATGCTGCCCATGTACTCATCAGAGCTGGTTTTCAGGGGTGTCTATTAATGATGCACATACAAAAACACGCTTATAGCATGAACCTCCTTCTTCCACAGTTTAAAAGAAAACTGAACAAAACAAACTTGTAAATACATTGAAAAATATAGCATCCATGAGAACTGCAACAGCCTACTAATTGTTCAGCCACAGGTGGTGCTTTTTCCCATTATCCAATAGGGAAGGGACTATTGGATAATACTATTAGATAATACTAAGCAGGGCTGAGCAATAATACTATCGCCTGCCTTCCCCACGTGGAGGCGATTCTGTCTTAACCAGTTTCCAGCAGTGGTTTTCAAAAGATTTTTACTTGTTCTGTGTTCTGGCTTTCCCTTGAAGGGTAAGGTTAGAGTTCTTTGTGGTTCCGTGATATTTGTTTCTGTCTTTGTTTTCAGGGTGAAATAAAAAAGTGTATTTTGTTGATGTAAAGTTTGCTCATAAGGAAGACGGGAAAATACTTAGGACTTCTGAGGTGTAATCAAGTGTGCTGCCATACTTTTCTTCCAGAGAAAGTTGGTAGCTGTGCTTCCTATGCTGTAAATAATGCCTTTGTGCAGTAATCCTGCTTGTGGTTTTAGACTTCATTTTATTGCCAATGTTATATAACAAATATTTTTTGCTGATTTGTTCTCAAAAGCTTTAGAAGGTTGTAGAGATTATTTAAGTGTAAAACACTTATACAGGGGTCTAGGTAACTCTTTGTAATACATCTCTGTTTCTTCTGAGATTCAGGCTTGCACAGCACCAAAACTCCCCTTAGGAATTCTTTTTGAGAATTAAAAAAAATTAGTTTTTCTTTTTTAGAGCTCCGAAGGAACATGGGACTGAGCTTTCAGAGAGTGAGAAAAGTAGGCAAAAGTCCTTTGTTTTTGGAAGTTGGTATTTCTATTCATGTCTTCCATTTACGTTTCAGAAGGCGTGTATATATTCGTTTGTGACCTGTGGTCATAACGTTGCTATGTGGAGATCTAATTGTGCTCAGTATGCACTGTTGTGTGCAGTAGAAAGCCTGAAGCCGGGCTTCTAATTTTCCTCTCTTGTTTGGGTTTCCTGCAGGCTGTGAGGGCGATGCTCTGGGCCTTTCCTCTCACCACGCCGCCTCTCTTTGAGGAGTGTGGGTGTTTGACAGCTTTGGCAGCATGAGAAAGCTGTGTGCAGCACACAGAGAACTGCCACAAGTTCTTTAATAAACCTGTTTGGCTTATACGTAAATAAATGCACTGTGTTGAGTTTGTCTTCAGGTAGGTAAAAGTGGAATAAATGTGTTTGTACATATTGATAACGTGCCTCAATAAGCTAAGTGCTTCTTTTCAAAGGCTGAAATGTGAGGCTGTTCACACAGCCTGCATTTTGAAGGTTTGATTTCAGATTTTATGCAAGTAATTATATTTATACTGTATGCAGTTATTAATGAATAAAGTGCCAGACCTTTTCTAGCAGCAGGGGTCAGGATGGAAAACTCAGTCCTGCTTCTCACGACTGAGAGTTGATAAGCTCCTCTCCCTTGCTTTCTCTCCTACCAGTGTGGTTCCTGAGTAACTATGACCTTTCTAATTTGACTTGCATGATGCTGAGGAGCACAAAGGAGACTTAAAAAGCACGTGATAGAGTCAGGATCAGTGTTCAGAATGATGAAGTGCTGCTGCCTTTCCAGATGACTTTACCTGCCAACCATGCATGGCTTAGCCACTAAAAGAGAGTCTTGCTGCATTGTGGAGCCCTTGGAGTTCTCCTGTTCTCTGCAGTTGGTGGATTGGAGCCTAAAAGCGGAGAGCATCTCTTGCCAACTTAGAAAGTGTTCATTGGTGAACAAGGAAATAGAGATATAGAATATGAGACATAGTTCTGGGTGATTTGCAAAATGAGTGTGAAAGGGAGCCAACGTGCAGCCATGTGTATCTGTCAGGTTTTGGTTGTTGTTGCATGGGATGATAGTATGGCTGAAGTTTGAATCTGATGCATGAAAATAATTTGAATATGGTTGTTTTCATGACCCTTCAATGCTGTAGCTTATTTTAGGAACTCCTTTACATTTTAAAATGGAGGTTGGTAATTTGCAGGCCAACTAAACAGAAAACAGCCTTGATAATCTTTGAAACCAAGCTTCGTCTGTTGTTACTCATGGGACTTCTTGAAATAGAACTTCTGACGAAATAAGTGTTTTTTTTTTTTCCTGGATTAGAACATATAACTTCTTGCTTTGTGTTTAGAAGCAGAACTGTGGCTTTCCCCTCTGTGTTTCTGGCTCTGATTTCTTTTTCTTTTTTTCTTTCCCCTTTCTGTTTAGTTGAAGAGAGAGTAAAACTATATGAAGGCTGAGAAAACTGCTTCTCGTACTTCAGCTGTCTTCCATTTTAAGTGAGGTATAGTC